GAAAGCACTTGTAATCCACTATCAGCAGAGTAGAATAGGGGTTAGTTTAATTGGAGAAGGGGGAAAGGAGTTACAAAAACATTGGAGTTTTCTTTTTCCAGTACTTAACTCTCCAGAGGAGTTAGTGTTAGAGAATGATGCAGGCAGGGAGAGCTAAACCTAAGAGGAGGTTTTGAAAATAGTGGTGCCCTTCTGTCATGTGAGGACATAGTGAGAAGACAAAAAAAACATATGAACCAGGAAGTGGGCTCTTGCCAGACATGAAATCTGCCAGTACCATGACCTTGAACTTCCCAGCCTCCAGAATGGTGCAGGAACAGAGCTGGTATCACAATATGAATGTGTACGATGGGGAACAACACTGGAAATACATGAGTAGTTGAGGACAAGCAAGGTTTGAAATGCATGGAGACAGAAGCTAGTCTCTGGAAATTATTCCAAATATTCAATGTATAAAATTATAGGTGGGTGATTTAGTTTTCATTAATACTAAGTCAAAATTATGAATAATTAATTTTCATCAATTATACTAGAGAAAATATAAAAAATAGTGGATTTTTAAAAAATTCGTTTACTATTAATTAATTTAATAGTGATACCCTCCCATCCAGTAGTGTTAGGGCAGAACAAAGGGCTGAGAACCACTGCTCTTTGGTCCCTCCCTTCTCTCTCCCTGACAGGAGCCTGTGTAGCCTACTTCCTTACTAAGAGGCGTGAGTACCGCAACTCCCTGAACCCCTTTAAAGGAATGAAGGAAAAAGAGGAGAAGAAACTCCGAAGTCGCAGATACCGGGTAGGTTTCTAGGCCTTCCTTTCAAGATGCTAAACTCTAAACCCTAATAAGCACCAGTGGGAAGGGCCAGAGGTCATGGCATCTAAGAAGAGAGTTGAGAGTGAATAATGTAGGCAGATAGAGGAGGAGGAGGGTGAGCCAGTTCTAAGATTTCACTTGGGGGCTTGGGTTCTCTCAGGCACAGATTTTACACAGACTTCCTCCTACACAAACCCTCTCCCCAAACCTAATCCACAGTTTTTTTCTCTCCCTAATCTCTGTCCTGGGCTCCTACTATAGCTTTTTGCCAACCGATCCAGTATCATGAGGCATTTTGGACCTGAGGAACAACGCCTGTGGAAGGATGTGACAGAAGAGCTGATGTCAGATGAAGAGGACAGTCTTAATGAGCCAGGTGTCTGGGTAGCCAGGCCTCCCCGTTTCCGGGCCCAGCGCCTCACAGAGCTCTGCTACCATCTGGATGCCAACTCTAAGCATGGCACTAAAGCCAACCGTATATATGGGCCTCCCTCAGACCGATTACCCTCTGCTGAGGCCCAGCTCCTTCCACCAGAACTTTATAATCCTAATTTCCAAGAAGAAGAAGATGAGGGAGGTGATGAAAATGGACCTGTCTCCCTATCTTTTGACCAGTCCCATAAAACCTGCTGTCCTGACTTGAATTCATTTATTGAAGTCAAGGTGGAAAAGGATGAGTGAAATCTATAACCAAGAGTATCTCTGGCTTCTGCCACTTCCCATGTCCCAGAGCCAGGCCTATTGGGCTTCCCAGAAGAATGAGATGTCCTCTGCAGCCTGAGAAAGCAAGTCTGCCTCTGTTCTTAACACAGCCCCCACTGGAAATGAAAGCTGGCAGCTCCGGTGGGATCAAAGGACTTCTCTGAAAGGGGGAAAGTCCCCCCATTGTGAATGGCAAGCCAGAAAGTGCTTGTTCCTAAGCATAAACAATGCCTCAGAAGAGCCGGGGATGAGAGGAGGAGGAGGATGGGTCTAAGAAACACGAGGCCTTCTCAACATATGCCCGGGTCTCTGAGTTTTTTGTTTTGTTTTGTTATTTTTCGGGTTTCACTCAAAGCTCTGGGGAAGCAGCTCTGATTGCACCTTCTGCTTCCCCAGGACCGCTGGTCTTGCTCTGCAGTGGAAGCCACCCGGAACCAGTCCAGGGTAATACTGCCACCTGGTGGGCAGTTTCAGTCTTTGATTCTTCTGAGAAGAACTGGGGCTCCATCCCTTTTTGGGAATTAGGATTTAGATGTAATAGCTTTATTAAATTATATAAAGCAGATTTTATTATTCTCATCTTACACATGTGGAAATTAAGGCTAAAAGAGTTCCCATGTATCACTGGCACCCGCTCTACCACTGTGTGCATATATAGGGCTCTGTAGCTATTTCTTAATCTTGTCAGCCTAACTGTATTTTGAGGAAGGTGTGTGTGTGTGTGTGTGTGTGTGCGCGCGCGCGCGCATGTGTGTGTGTGTGTGCGCGCACGCGCAAGTGTGCATGCACACACCAGCACACAAAATGTATGCATTTTGAATAGATTGAGAAGTAAAAATGGCTTTCTAGTCAGTCATCCATATAACAAACATTGATTGCTTACTAGGTGTCAGATACTGTGCTATAGACACAATGTTGATCAAAGTAGATGCTGATCTAAGGTTTTATTATCTAGTCAGAAAACCAGGCAGTTAAGTAGGCAGTGGAATAAATAGTGCTAAGAGTGATGAGGGACTGTAGGGTGCACTGGCAGGATACAGCAGGGGTAGCTAACCTATGCTGGTGGTCTGGAAAGGCTTCTCAGAGGGGTGTTTAAACTGATACCTGAAAGGAAAGATGGGGGAAGGGAGGCCAGGAGAGTGTTCCAAACATAAGGAGCAGCGGGTACTAGAGAGCACAGACAAGATACACTTCTACAGAACATTTGGAGGGGATGATGCTGAGAAGAAGAGGCTGGAGAGATAGAAAAACCTTGTAAAATATCTTAAAGAGTTCAGACTTCAGTTCAAGGGCAATGATCAGTCATTGTAAGGTTTTAAGGAGGGAAATGAGTTGGTCAGTTCTGTGTTTTACCCCAGTCCCCCCGCCCCCTCCAGCTCTGTGTTTTAGAAGAATCACTTGACCTTGGGTTACGAGATGGCTTGGAAGGGGAAAGCCTTGGCAGTGAGACTCTTGCAGTGGATCTGGGGAGAAAAGATGGTGGCCCGAGAGACACACGGGTGATGAAGGGAGGGCAGATTTGAAAGATATTTAGGAAGCAGAATTGATTGGACTTGGTGCTAGGACTTAGTTGATTTGAGATTAAGGGAGGAGGACATAAGATTGATGTTTAGGTTTCTGGCTTAAGCAGCTAAGTGGTTAAGGATGCCATTTACTCAGGGAATGCTGGAGGAGCCCGTTTCAGGACGCAGGGAAGGTGGGGTCAGTTTAGGGTGTTGTATGCCTTTGAGATAACCAAGTAGATACTCGTACTCAGATTTTTTAAATCCAAGAAAGTCTGGGCTAGAGATACGGATTTGGCAGTCATTTGTGTATATATAGACCTTAATTAAAGTCTTTGGGATGGAAAATAGGGCCTGTGGAGCTCCTGACTCCAGTTTAAACTAATGACTGGTTACCCTGAGGTTGTGAGCCCTATGGGAGCATGCTATCTCAGTGTACCTCTCGCCCGCTTCCTATGATCCCCTGAAAATGCAGGTCGTTGATTCCAACTGTGCTCACTGCTGCCACCACCAACTCCTGGGAGGGCCTCCTTTAATGGCTTTTCAACCTTCCATAAGATTTACTCTCTCATCCTCACCCCAAAGGAGCAAAGCTTCCAAATATTAGAGGCTGTTCAGGTATTTTGGGTGTAAATAACTGGGAGGAAGAATTCAGGTTCTCCTTCCCCATTTGGAGACAGGAAAGGAGAGACGTATGGTTAATTCTGAAGATGTCGCTCACAGCAAGTTCTGGATGCAATCTGATAGCTCCCCTCTATTACTAATGCTTTCAGTCCTCCTTGCTTCCAGTCTGATAGTAAACTCTCTTCTGGATCAGAGAAAAGCTGTAAGCCTGACCAGGCAAACAGAGAAGCTGATTCTCAGGAGAGATGAGGTCAGGGAAACAATGCAGCTAGGACAAAGAAGCCAAATAGTTTGTACCAAATTAATTTCCCCAAAGATATTAACCCCCTTTTCTTTCCCATTCCCTAAGGCTACACTAAGATTATAAAAGGTGTTCAAAATGTTGAGACAAAAATAATATGCATGATTTGTTTGCATGATTCGTTTTCTATCTAAATACAAAGGAGTCATTTTCCTTCTCCATTTACTTCCTCCATCCCTTGCCCCTGATGTGTTAGTCTGGGCAAAATCAGTTGGTGGGTATTTAACTGGATATGTTTAGCTTCAACCATGGTTTCTTCTTTTTCTTATTCTTGATCCTTCTAGTATGGCCAATATCAGCCTCTTTTTCTTTTCCACCCTGATCATTTTCACTTGCTAACTCCTTTAAATGACATTACTTTTCTTCCTCTTAATACTTACTCTTTATCGCCAATCTCCTGTGGGCCAACCAAAGGGGGGGGGGGCGAGGGGGCATTCGCTAGCCCTAAAACCAGACCTTCTATCCCATAGTCACCTGAAATATTTGCTAAAAAATTTCATTTCCCAACACCAGGGGGTGTCTGTCTATCTGTCCTAATCTGAAGTTTGAGATTAGTTCCAAACCTTTTCCTCCTTTTACATAGACACTAAAGTTCCTTCCCTTCTTAAACAGAGCTTTGGGTTCAGGAAGTGGTGTCTTTTTATTACAGTTTATCTCTTTATCTCTCATTCTCTCTGGACTTGCACAAATTTGTCTTTTTCTTAGTCTATTCCTCCTTCGGTCTCTGCACCACCCTCAACCTCCTTTGCTCCCTTTTCTTTCGCTACCTGTCTTCCACCACCTCTCTCCATGGGCTTCCTCGCCTTTCTGGACACTACGGCGGCGTCTCTGAAACTCTGTATGTACCTACCTTTCTTCTTTTTCCCTGTCTTCCTCTTTACGGATCCCTCCCTGTCTCAATCAGTCTCTCTTCATCTCTCCCAGTCCCCACACTAGGAACAAAGTGGTGTTTGCACAGAGCATGCCTCGCGTCGCCCCGTTCTAGACCAGGACATTCCACCGTGCCCCTCCGCGCATTCCAACTGCAAACAAAGAGTCCCACCCCAACTTTTCCCTGTCCCAGTCATCGAGTGATGCAGGAGCAACTTCCCGAACTTGCCCTCCTCTCCTCTCCTGGCGGCGAATATCCACCTCCAGGACAGTGACTACCAGCTCCCACCGCCCCATTCCGCGCAGCAGAGATCCCTGCGCAGACACCCCCGTTTCTCCTTCGCTCGGTGCTCCGCCCCTCTCGGAAAGTAGATCCGGCCAGGCAGACAAAAGTTTGGGAGAGAAGTTCCGTCCGTGCTGAGTGTGAGAGCGAGGGGGGCGGGGGCCGGGAGCAGCGGGGCGGCCGGGCAAGTCGACGCGTGGACAGATAGACCTGCGGACGCGACAGCCGTAGGCCCTCCCAGCCTGCTCAGCCCCTGATGCGCGGGGGTCCGCAGCCCCTCCTGCCGGGGGATGCTGGGGGATTCCTGGCGCCGGGCATCGGGGCCGCCCGCTAAACCGTTGTGCCTACTCCGTGCCCCCGGGGAACCGGAGCCCGGCCGCAGGCAAAGAGAAGCGGGGGCCGAGAGGCTGCTGGGTGCGGGGCGGGGAGGGGGCTGGAGGCCCCAGGCCCGAGGGCATGGAGCGGTTGGGAGAGAAAGCCAGTCGCCTGTTTGAGAAGTTAAGACTCTCGGACTCGGGCAGCGCTAAGTTCGGCCGCAGAAAGGGTGAATCTAGCCGGTCTGATGGGACCCCCGGGCCGGGCAAAGGGCGCCTGAGTGGGTCGGGGGGACCGAGGAAATCAGGGCCCCGTGGAGCTACCGGGGGACCTGGGGATGAGCCGCTGGATCCAGCCCGGGAGCAAGGACCCCTGGACGCTGAGCGCAACCCGCGCGGCTCCTTTGAGGCGCAGCGCTACGAGGGCTCCTTTCCCGGGGGGCCGGCTCCCACCCGGGCCTTGCCTCTACCTCAGTCACTGACCCCAGACTTTCGGTTGGAGACCACGGCCCCAGCCCTCAGCCCCCGCTCCAGTTTCGCCAGTAGCTCCGCCAGCGACGCGAGCA